GTGAACTACGTTTGACTTGATCCCGAAAGGGTACGTAGGCAGCCTCTCTGAGGTTCAGTCATACCAAAACAAAAATCCAAAAGTCCCCAAGCAAGAAACTGGGGCAGAAATTGTGGTTGTTGTGAGAAGTTGGATTCCGAAAGTTGTAATTTTAACCCATTTTGAAATTGTTTTGAGCCTTTTATACCCTTTCTTTCTAACCCATCCAAAAACCTACATTACGGTCCAAAGAAAGACCTTCTAATTAGTCTTTGAGAAATGCCAAGTCAAGCAGGTAAGGTAATTCCTGTCAGGGGCAACACTCCGGTCCAAACAAGGAAAATGAAAATGATAGAATCTTATTGATGAAAATCCTCATGGGTATCGTAAGGTGATGAAAGGTGAGAGAAATAAAAAATGAGAGAGTCTTATTGGTGAAAACCTTCACGGGCACCTTGAGGCGACAGTAAGTTGAGAGAAAGAACGAAATAAGAGAGGTTTGATGGTGAAAACCCTTTGGGGCAGTACAAGCCGAATAAGGAATGCGAATCAAATTGGATAAGCGGAGAAATGAAGCCCAGTTTCACGGCAAAAAGGAACAACAAGAGATGAACATCATATTTGCTTAACAGAATAGGTCGCAGGTGCATGTCAAGGTCATTAGAGTCGGTATCCACATCCGATAGGTTTCTACTGTGTAGTTTTCTTGTTAGGAATCATCTCTTTCTATTGTCCTTTACTCTGTTCCTTTTGTTTTGTTTATTTCCCCTTTCTGAGTCTTTTGGTCGTAACAAGTGAGGAATGACTTCAAAATTTTCCACCAGCTTTCCAATTGCACAAAATGGGGTCACAAGTCAGGAAAAATAACAAGAGCACTGAGCTGGTAATAATCAACATACTTTGGGATCCTTATGAAACACAAAGTTTGGTAGATGTCGGTTCAGGAATAATGCAACAGATAGAGGGTATTGGGATTGAACGGGGAAAAAGGGTATTTCAGTGATACAGATGACGGGGAAAGTGGTTAATCGGTAAACATGCAAGACCTTCAAGAAGAATCAGTTGTCACAGAAAACATATGGGGTTAGATAAGATGACTAGAAGTAATAATTGAGAGATAGTCATCAAGAAGGACGGAAGTTATCAACCAAGTTTCAAAGATGGTTGGACAACGTAAATCATGGAAGGGAGAAAAGGAAAGCCATCCCAGCGGGAGTACCACAACCAACAACCGCACTTTTAAACTCACAGAATTTTCTTTGATTTGAAACAGGGGCATGGAAATGTTATTTATGACAGAAAGATATGCTACAGGAGGATTATCAAACTGGGGCAGAAAATTTTCTTGAAGTCGGGTACCCTTCTGAAGAACATGAAGGTCAATACAAGTGTTTTTAAAAAGAGAGAAATAGTTTTCAGGAAAGAAACACCAGTTCTAAGAAAAGTAATTTTTGGAGGAATGAAACACCAGTTTTTAGGGAAGTGGTTTTTTTTTGAAGGAGGACAACACCAGTTTTTAGGGAAGCAGTTATGAAGGAAGATAATTCAAGTTAGTGGGTAGGTAAAACAAATTTCGAAGGAAAATGGTTAAAAGATAAAAATCTTAGTATTTCGAATTTTTCACCTAAGATAAAGAAATCTTAGTCTGTTGAATCTTTCACCTAAGATAAAGAAATCTTAGTCTTTTGAATCTATCACCTAAGATAAAAATCTTAGTCTGATGAATCTTTCACCTAAGATAAAGAAATCTTAGTCTTTTGAATCTATCACCTAAGATAAAAATCTTAGTCTGATGAATCTTTCACCTAAGATAAAGGCAAAAGTTGGAAAAACGAAAGGAAGGCATAATTTGGAAAACGATGAAGGCAGAATTTGAGGAGAAAGAAAGGAAGGCATAATTTAAAGAAGGGGAAGGCAAAAGTCGAAAAAAAAAGAAAAAAGAAAGGAAGGCATAATTTGGGAACAAGAAAGGAAGGCAGAATTTGAAAAGAATGGAAGTTGGAATTTGGAAAACTAAGAAAGTCGGGATCACAAAAATGGACCTAGTCTGATGAATTATCTCCTAGAGTCAAAATCGCAGTCCGATGAATCTTCCTCCTGAGATCACACAAAAATGGACCTAGTCTGATGAATTATCTCCTAGAGTCACAATCTTAGTCTGTTGAATCTTTCTCCTAAGATGAAAATCTTAGTCTGATGAATTTTTCACCAAAGGTAAAGATAAAAATCTTAGTCTGTTGAATCTTTCTCCTAAGATAAAAATCTTAGTCTGATGAATTTTTCACCTAATATAAAGACAAAATCTTAGTATGATGAATTTTTCACCTAATATAAAGACAAAAATCTTAGTCTGTCGAATCTTTCACTAAGATGAAAATCTTAGTCTGATGAATTTTTCACCTAAGATAAAAGATAAAAATCTTAGTCTGTCGAATCTTTCACTAAGATGAAAATCTTAGTCTGATGAATTTTTCACCTAAGATAAAAGATAAAAATCTTAGTCTGTTGAAACTTTCTCCTAAGATGGAAAGCTTAGTCTGATGAATTTTTCACCTAAGATAAAGATAAATCTTAGTTAGTCGAATCTTTCACTAAGATGAAAATCTTAGTCTAATGAATTTTTCACCTAAGATAAATTTTTAATTTTAAGATACATTGCAGTCTTTAAATTTTTAAAAGTTGCATTTCCGTCTTATCACAATTCAAGTTTTAGTTCTTATTAGTATGTGGTAAAAAACAACCAGTTTTCCAAACTGGGGCAGAAAGTTTTCTTTGTTTTGTCTATTTTTGTGAGGTCAGGAGCCCGTCTGGATAATAGAGGAATACATTCAATTTCAAATTCAGCAATCAGGAGCCCGCCTGAAAACAAAGGTGATAGAATTCAAATTTTAGTTTTCAATCGATTTTTTGTCTTTTGAAGTCAGGAGCCCTCCTGAAGAACAGAGGCATAAAATTCAAGTTTCAGAAGTCAGGAGCCCGCCTGTATAACAGAGGTATTACAAGTTAAGTTTTACTCAAATTCTTATTAATATCTAGTAAAATGTACCCAGTTTCCAAACTGGGGCAGAAAGTTTTCTTTGTTTTGTCTATTTTTATGAAGTCAGGAGCCCGTCTGGATAATAGAGGAATACATTCAATTTCAAATTCAGCAATCAGGAGCCCGCCTGAAAACAAAGGTGATAGAATTCAAATTTTAGTTTTCAATCGATTTTTTGTCTTTTGAAGTCAGGAGCCCTCCTGAAGAACAGAGGCATAAAATTCAAGTTTCAGAAGTCAGGAGCCCGCCTGTATAACAGAGGTATTACAAGTTAAGTTTTACTCAAATTCTTATTAATATCTAGTAAAATGTACCCAGTTTCCAAACTGGGGCAGAAAGTTTTCTTTGTTTTGTCTATTTTTATGAAGTCAGGAGCCCACCTGGATAACAGAGGAATACATTCAAATTCAAAATTCAGAAGTCAGGAGCCCGCCTGAAGAACAGAGGAATACATTCAAGTTTAGCAGTTTGAAGAAGGGAAAACATCTCAGTTTACAATTCAAAATGGCAACAATGGATTTCACCTGGGGAGCAAGGGAAGACAACTCAAGTTTCAAGGGAAATCAGTGTCGACGGAAGACAACTCAAGTTTCAAGGGAAAATGGTTCAAGGTGCCGAGCAGGTTTGACCTCGAGGCACACGATTCGAGATGGCAGAAAAAATGAGTCTCAATCCAAAATAAAGGAAAGAAGAAAAAGAACAAAAAAAGTGAGCTCTAACGTTCAGAAGCAGGAAAAAATGTGAACTGCTCAAGACGTGGTTGAAGTCATAAGCACTACATGTCCGGTCTTGACCCAGAAGAAGATTGAACCAACACATGCGGCCAACAAGAATCAAGATACAGATCAGGGTCCGCATGAAGCACCAACCAAGACTCAAGATCAAGCTTCAGAAGACTCATAGATAGGAATCTTGTAACTCGTAGCTGATAGGCTTAGTGAGTCTTTTTCAATTTTGACTTTGGTATAATAACGGGACAGCAGACCGGAGCCTCGGATTTTTGCCCTACATGAAGATAACTCCTAAAAATAAGTCTAAATAATTTTTATTTGATTTTTTTTAGGAATTTTTTTCTTTTTTAGTTGCATTTCATGCATTTTAATATCAAAATCAAAATATTAAATACCAAAAAACTTGGCATTTGCATTTAGAATTTAATTTTACATTTTAGGATTAATTAATAGTGAGTTATTTTTAGGAAAATGAAAATAACAAAAATGGTCTTTTTTGCATTTTTTAGTTTTAATCTGTTTAGTTTGCATTTAAAATAGGGAATTAGTGTAATTGGAAATTTGAAAGTATAATTTTAGAATCAATTTGAGTTTTGGTTCTTAATTTAGCATTTAACAAAATCAGAAAATAAAGTACAAAATAACTAAATAAAATACAAAAAGAGGAAGATAAAAAGAAATTGGGAGTAAAAAAAAAAGGGAAGAACCTTCCCCAAATCATTTCTCCCCACCTAAGACCTTCCCCCCAAAATATTTCCCCACCTAAAACCTTCCCCCCAAAATATTACCTCACATAACACCTT